AATTCTCAACCTGTCTCTCTCGATTTGTCAAAATTAAATCTAGAAGAGCCTCTTCCCCGGTGGCTTTCTCCACTTTCTGAAATAAAAATAGTCTTCAGCACATTCCAAGAATTTGTTGGATAATCAATGCCCTGCTGCATTATTTTCTCAACAGACTTCTGGATAGGTGAAGTCCCCCATCACCACCAAGTCCTGTGCTTTGGATGATTTTGTTAGATGTTTAAAAAAAGCCTCCTCCACTTCATCCTAGTTAGGTGGTCTATAGTAAACCCCTACCATGACATCACTCTTGGCTTTTTTTAACCCCTTTTATGCTTTCCCGGAGACTTTCAACAAGTCTGACTCCCATTTCCACCTCAACCACAATGCAGGTGTATACGCCTTTTATATACAAGGCAACCCCTCCCTCCATATGAAATATTCTGCTGTGTCTCCTGAGGCGGTTTGTATTTGTGCATAGATAATGCCTAAGCCTAAACTTATGACTCACTGGAGCTTTAAATAGTTGTGATCTCCTTTGAGGAAATGTAGAGTTAGCACCACTTAGTATCTGGGAAGTGTGATGATTCCACCTCTCAGTGAAATGAAGCTAAACTGAAGTTTAGTTCACAATGAAAAACTATTACTGTGGTAAATTGTGCACAAAACTGTTGTTGAGCTTAATTTTTAAAACGGGCAACTACCGGAGTGTTGAAGAGTAAATATTCCTCCTGCTTTTAAATATTTCTCCTGGAGGGTTTTTATTCTGCTGCACATGAGTTAGGAGTAACTTACTGGAAACCGTACTAGAAACCATCCTGTGTGCAGAACAAAAACTGTCCTTTGCATCACAGATCATGGTCTCTGTGCAAAGCGGGTTTTGGGGCGCATGGATCAAACTTTGTCCTCAGATGCAGTGGAATTGTGTGTAGAGGGTAAATTATGGCTGGAAGGATGTAAATTTCTGTCAGTTTCACTAACATTGATTGCATTGGTGACACTGTTCAGGAGCACTGTGCCTTCGTAGATGGAGCATTGGACTGGGTTCTGTTAGGGGCTCCACTGTTAGCCTGCTTCCTGTCCTTGAGTAAGTCATACACTCACTGTGCCTCAGTTTCCTCATATGTAAAATTAGAACAATGAGGCTGATCTCTTTGTGAAGCACTTTGTGAAGAGCTACTGACAACAAAATTCTATTTAAGGGCTGGGTATTATTATTACCATTCAGGGAAAGTGACACAAAATTGCACTGCAAATAATAGCGATGTGGGTAAATTCCAGGTAGCAGTACATCGTCATGTGATTATTGATATTTCCAGGGGAGTTACCATGTAGTCCGTACTTAGGCAAACCTCCCCTTGAGTTTGGATTAAAGGCTCAGGCTACGGTTACACTACAAATATAGCACTCGTTGGCATATATTGCACTCTCATTTGCATATTCTCTTCCAATCCTTTTTGCGGAAGAGGTTTTTGCAATAAAAAGCCCCGTGTAGACGGGGCCAATTAAGCTAATTTTTCTGTGCTATGCAGGGTCCAGTCCAACTCTGCTGTGACTCCATTGGTCGCAGATAAGGCATTTTGACCCTAGGTAGATAACTCATCAGTTCTGCTAGATTCTGGTAAATTTTACGAGTACAGAAGCTGTGTGTTGAAGGCTTGCGTGGGACGGAGATGGTTAGTTCAGAATGTGGGGTTGCCCCACACCATGAAGAACAATGACAAGGTATGCAAAAACACATTGGCCTTGGCATTTAAAACAAGTTTTTGTGCAGGTTGAACAGGAACCAGGCCTCCCCAGGTGACACGCCAGTACTTTACGTGACACTTTGCCTGCTGTCCTGCTAGTAAGTAAAATCCTGATCCCCTTGATGACCGTGACAAAACTCCCAGCAACTTCAATTGGACCAGGATTTGGAAAAGTTCCCCAAAGAAGAAAATCTCTCAGTTCTCTGGCCTGTCTGTCCCTAGGGTGTTTCTGCTCAGGAAACGCAAGGAGGTTTATTGTACAAGCCTGGAGTTGTTGCATGTTATGTGACATCCTTTTGTTATACAGTACCATTCTGTGCCCTACTTGCTTGTCTGAGAACTCAGGACACTGCGTTTTCAACTGTGCTAGTTTCAAACTGAGCTTTGGCCAAAGTGTCCTCAACATTCGTGGAACTTCACTGGCCCTCTTGGACACTCTAGTTAACTATGTGGAGACCTGAGAAGAACTGGATTCAACTCCGATGACAGAGCCATTGAAAAGACAGTGGAAAAAGCACAAGACTGGGTAGTGTCACTTTAACTCACACTAAGATGAAATTTACCACCATATAGAGCCTTCATCAGTCTCTTATATTAATTATTTTATTGCTAGTGTAGATTTTAATCACCAGCCCATGTGGACTAAAACACGCCGGTAGCCAACATAGTTTTTGAGATGAAATCCAGAAACCCATTAAAGATTCTTTTAGGCACTGGAATGACAAAGGGAGAGAGTACAGGTCTTGGATCTAACATGAGTCCATTTTATGAAAAGTAAGATATGATGCCAAGAACAAGTGAAAGGCTTTTGTAGCAGAAGGAAACCATTTAAAAGGTATACCAAGGGAATCGGATAAATCCAGGAGATATCTGTCCAGCACATACTCAAGGAAGTGCACCAGGGTATCTATTAAAGACAGTAGTGCAGAAAGCAATATATTAACAGCTATGGGTACTGTCACTTCGAAAGAAGGGTTAGAAGTGGCAACCTGAAGAAAAGAGTTTGGTTAAAATACAGATATTACATAATGCTCTCTTTGAAAGGTGAGTAAATATGTCGGGTACACAAGGACCTATGTGATGCTAAGAAGAACAAACTTTGCTAAGAAAATGCTAACAGACTTGTCTGCAAAACCACTCTAGCGGCACTTCCACGGTGCTGCTCACGCTATGTTTAAGACATGACTGGGCTGGCAAAAATCCACTGAAGTGCAACATACCCGATGCCAGGCTTATAGGAAGCACTGCTGTGACTTAATTAAAAGCCCTGCTGCAAAGGAGTCTCTGAAGGCTTTTAATGAACTGTAATTGTGGCATGCACGCTGAAGGTGTTACTGAGCAACAGCTAGTGATCGTCTTGCCTTTTTGAGATTGCATCAGGATAGAGAATATTGGCAGTGCTGTTGCCAATTGGCAGATATTAGAAAGAGATTCCTTTGGTTCAACAGACTGTCCTCACTTTCTGGGTCTCAGGGTTCTCTACACAGATTGCAGAAGGGCTGAACTCCTGAGTAAAAATGATCTTTCAGATACAAAAGTCAGTCAGTCTCTGTCTCTGTCTCTGTCTCTGTCTCTGTCTCTGTCTCTGTCTCTGTCTCTGTCTCTGTCTCTCTCTGCTCTGAGGGTTCAAATAGGATTTCCGGGAAGCTGCCACAGATACACGTTGGTGCTAAACAAATAAGACAATCACACAGTATTGTACTAGCACCAAATGTCAAATGTTTGCTTCTGGGTACTCACTTTGTACCTCAGCGATTTGGGCAGTTCCTGTGTGTATACATGTACTTGTTTTGTGTGCATATGTGTGCAAAAGCAGAATGCACACACGCAATTGGTACACAATACAAATTTTTTTGCAAGGAGAGGCAACTTTATACAACAGTATTTTGTCCCTCTTTCACTTTTCAGTTTCCTGAAGTAAGTTAGATTCTCAAGTTGTGTGTTAGTTGTGTGTCTGTAGTGCTGAGTTCCACGCTTTTTTAAAGGTTTACCAAGTTCAAAGGCATTTTTAATGCCTTCAGTGTTATCCCGATGCTCCCAAGCAACTGAAGGAGAAAATCTATAATAAAAATCTCAACATTGGCATTTGTTTACTTGGGTTCCTTTAATGTTGTTAGAAAATAAACATCTCCCTACACTTAGTCTTGTTTCCAAAAACTGGGTGACCATTTTCTATTTCTTTAGAATTTGAGGCAGGATTGCTGTGTGAATCCAAATATTTTTATTTATGCTTTAAAAAACAAACAGATTTTCTTACATTAATGAGCGCAAAGATGAAAATTGGCAGGGGTTGTTGGACAGCACAGTCTCTAGAGTAAATAATTTCCTTACAATTACCATTATTGATTTTCATAGTACTTTAGGATCCTTTCACTTAAAAGCAGTTTCATACAACACATTGTTTTTATTAGATGGTGGTATTTAAGTAAAGTGTGTTACAATTTACAGCTAGTATGCCAGGTTACTGTTTACCACTTAGGTGGTGGAAAAAAGAAACAAACACACAATTTTATCGTTTCTGGCTGAAGTAAGAATAAAACAATAATGTACAATGGGACTGTAGAACAGATAGCCATTCCCACTGCCTGATGCATGCTGCAAGATGCATTGAGCTTAGGGATGTTAAACAGTTGACCAGTAAGCACAACACTTATCGATATACTTATCGAATAACCAGCTCTTTCTAGTTAACTCAGGCTGCAGCCAGCCACACTGGACTGGAGCAGCCCTGGCTGTCAAGGGACCCTATGCCACAGCTGGGCCAGGCATTGGGACCTAAGTTAATACAAGTTAACTGGTTAAGTGCTATCTGTTAACCGTTTCCCTAACATAGGACTGAGAGTCAGAAATTCTCAAATTCTAAACTCACATTGAACTTGACAATATCACCCAAATCTCTCTCTTGATTTTGCTGTGTGTAAAAGTGATAATCACTCTTACCAAATGGTGGCTGCAGTGTTTAATTAGTTAATATCTGGACATTTGCAGTGGGATGTTATAATAGAAGAATTTGAGAAAAATTAACTAATGCTGCAAAGCCAGAGATCTAAAGCAAATTAGTTTTCACCCAGTGATCTCTTTGACAAGGATCTTCCTGCTCGTTGAGTCAAATATTAATGTGTTTTCTTATTAATCCCAAATTAGGAAAGCAGCCTGTACTGAAGATGCGTCTCATGCAAGGAGCTGGAATATATATTGTATTTAGATGCTAGCTATTGAAAATCTTGTGCTTTCTTATTAAATAATATCACCTTTCCTGTTTGTTGAACCCAGACCATGCATAGTTGGGTAGGTGAGGATTTGCCAGCTAGATCAACTACAACCTCCTCAGGGCCTGGTGAAGGAAACTTGGAAGAGAAATGTAAACAGGTAGACTCAAAGCGGTGTACGCTAATCACAAAATACACTTCTGTTTGCAGTTTAGATGTCTAATACAGTCTAGCCATGTAAGGAGACATTAACCGGGTGCCTGAAAAAGCGATGCCTGACTGATATGTGTGTGTGAAATAATAGTTTGGTTTTAGTGTGTCTTTCTATTAACCCTATTGTCCAAAAGCTGTAGCTGGGCAAAGTCTGGCCCAGTTTGTTGGCTGTGGTTCAGAAGTGCACAGCTCAGGAGAGTTGGCACAAAGTTGGTGTTTTCACTTCTCTCATACTGGACAGACTGTGGGGCAGGCTAGTCCCCAGTATAAGTTAGAGCAGCCTCCCCCGGCAGCTTCATGGGAATGATATGGCTACTGGGGATCAAATTCACTGCAGTTTTCTATATGAGCTGGCTGGCTGGATTTCTCAAGTCATGAATATTAAGCTCAGGACACTGATCCTACTCCTTTCCTAAAAAGAACTACTTCTCCCATGTCAACGTGACATTTCTTTTAACTGGAAGGGGCCAGACTTGGTTTCAAAGTTATTTTGTATATTGCAATTCGATTATGCAGCACATCGGAACGTAGTGAATCTGGCTTACCAACCAACCGACTCCTCTAAGTGCAGAATGGGACATTGAGTATTAATATTCATGTCAGATGATGCTGTTGGATAGCAAAGCTTTGGCAAGGTCGATCCTCAGTTCAGCAGTGTCCTGAGCCAGTGCACTTTGTGAGCAGGCAAAAGCTCATGGAACATGTAAGGGAATAACGATTGAGGGAACGACGGAAGTAGCAGATCCACATTGTGTGATCCAACATCCTGACATGGAGTCAGAGCCCCCACAAAACATACACAGACACTAACTTCATGGGTGCTGCTCTTGTTTAAACTGGCAGCGACCCTTAATATCTGAGTTATCTGGCCCTGCCAGGAGAGGTGCTCAGTTTGCACAATGCTGAAGCAGAGTCAGAAGCCAGGGGCACAAAGGTGAGAGAAGATTCCTGTCATACCCTCTTTCCTGTCCTGAGCCGGAGTGTTGCATGGGCAATGCTTGTGAAGCAAGTACACACTGAATTTGTTTGTCCGTGTGTGTGTGTGTGTGTGTGTGTGTGTGTGTGTGTGTGTGTGTGTGTGTTCACTATGATGCTGTCCAGTGAATTAGGGCCAAGATTTTCAAAAGTAATGTGCTCAATTTGAGACCCCTTACAAGAGAACCCCTGGGAAAACCTGCCCCTTGAAGGCATCTCAGGTTGGGCACACAAAAACCGAAATACTCAAAATTCCTGGTCACTTTTGAAAAATTAGCACCTAAAATGATAGCAGTGAAATAGCAATGAAAATTACTCATTTTGATCAACATTGCTGCTTCTGCCCCCTTCAAATGGGAGAGGAAAATTGCACCCACAGCCCAACCTTGTCCGTAAAACTTTTACCACTTAGTAAATCCAACTTTAGGCCTACTTGGCTTGGCTGGAGCATGCTCGGAACATTGTCTTTTGAATCTTGGACAGCAAATCCTAGCTAGAGGCAGAACCCTGGTTTGCATTGCAGTCCACTCCTGCAATAAACAAACCAAAAAGTACAGTTAAAAATAGCTGTGAGTGAGTATTGTTTAAAAAGAGCTGCCTCTCACAGATTAAGGTTGAAATAAAAACCACAGAGCCTTAGTACTTTCTCAGTGCTGATACTGAGCTACCATTTACTGGTGGTAGTTTGGATTTTGCAAGGAGCACTTATTAGGTCTCACATCTCAGGAATAGGGTACATCATTCTAATGCCTTTTTGGTGCCACATAAACTACAACTCCCCCTTGACCAAATGCTATACTTGTTAGAGGCCCAGTTGGCCAGTAGCAGTAAAGCTCCTAACTGGACATTTGCATACCTAACACTAGAGCTTTTCTAAATACTTAGGCTATAATAAATGCAAAGGGGAAGGAGCCAATGGCAAAAAAATGTGATGACCTTGGAAACAGGACTTGTCTGCAGCACATCTGTGTTCTCAGGATTGCTACATTAGAGTCAGATTGTGCCTATGAGGCAGTGGTCTGTGTAGGGATGAAGCAAAGCCATATTGTCCCTGTTGGAGCTCTAATAAGGATTGCGCTCAGAAAAGCTGAGTTATCCTGGAGTGCTGTAGAACACCAAGGGAAGGTGCCAGTCCCATCTCCCAAAGAACTCTGAATTCCCTTCTGCTATTGCTTCAGCTCCTTCCTGTCCCTGTGAGCATTACAAGAGAACTTTCTCTCTATGTAATACAGCTTCAAGGACTGCCTGGCCCATTCATGGGGGATATAAGGACTGGAAAAGCTTCCTGAATCCTTCCCATGCCCTGTGCATTTGTCCAAGGTCCAGGCACAGTTTGGCCCTAAATTTGGACCCAATCTTTGAGTAGCTTCCAGCTCACCTCCTAGAATTCCTATTAATTTCAGTGGATACTCCAGGTGCTGAGCAATGACAGGAGCAGGCCCAGTTTATGCAAGAAATAAACCTACCATGGAAAGAGGTATGTGATGAGAGAAGTCTACAGAGCAGCACAAGTGTAACTTAACAGAAATTGGGAGGTGATGTTTGTAGATTTGGTCCTGTGGGCTTGACTCTGGCAAACACCCATTAATTGCAGTGGGTGCTTTGCTGGAGTTAGGACTGCAGGATCAGACATTTTAAAAAAAATGTGAAGTGGATTTTTTTTTTAAACAGTTGGTCTTATCCTGAGACCATTGTTCATGTCCCGTCTTTTTCACGTCTCACTGAAGTTGAGGTTTGCTTGTCAAGTTGCACTAGTGATTGTGTGTAGATTTCTAACCATTTAATTACTAATTCACAGGTGTGCATGATTTTGTGAATGGGTGTATATTTTGCCATGATTATCATTTTCATTCAGTTCAGTATGCTGACTCTTCTGTTTTGGGGGCTTTCATTTGCAGTAATATTTCATTTCAGAAAATAGTATGATGAAAACTAAAGGTCCAAGTACCAGGCGAGACAACAAAACATGTCCCCCATTGGGTACAGGATAAAGAAACTCCCTGGCACAGCTGATTGAAAGTAAGAGGAGGACCAGTCTGGAGTTAGAATCTTCAGAGAGTAAAGTACCAAGGGAAAATAATTTCTCCCCACCTTCCATACCCTGGGACTCTTAGTGTTAAGTAATTCACTGCAGGCCACGTTTCTGTAGAAGTGAATGGGAATTTTCTTCGGGAGCCAGCAAACTCTTTGGTTAGCCATGGAACTGAAAGCTGGAAACCTTTGTTCACTGACTCTGCCAGCGACTTCCTAAGCCAGGGGTGTCCAAACTTTTTTCAAAGAGGGCCAGATTTGATGAAGTGAACATGCGTGAGGGCCGGCCATTTTGCCTGACATTCTTTGAACCATTACAATTAAATGCAAATTAACTATTTTATGCAAAGTTTATTGCAAACAGCATACTTTTCATTTCATCACATGGATGACAAATCTAAACAGGTGTTAAATCACTCTGCCTTTCATATCTGAAGGCCAGATGAAAAAAAAAATCCAGGAAGCTGAAATATATGTCAGGAACATTGTAAAGTACATTACATATTATTGGTAATAAAGGTTGTCTGTCAACTTTTAAGTTCAAAAAATATGAACAGGAACATAACACCAAGTATACATGTTGTGTCCAAATATATTTATAACTGATTTAGACCAACTGACATTAACTGAGATTTTACAATGTATTCATCTCAATACATATGGATTCGTTGGGGGCCATAAAAGATAGATATTGGAAAATTACCTGGGGGGCCGTATTAAACCGGAACACGGGCCGCAATTGGCCCGCGGGCCGGACTTTGGACATGCCTGTCCTAAGCAATCCTGCAAAAGTCCTTTCCAGTCTGTCACCATTTATTCATCTGTCAAATGGCCGATGCTGCTGCTTCTCCATTTTTAAAGAGCGCTTTCAGATCTACAGCTGAAAAGTGCAGTTTTAATGCAGGGCCTTATTATTAAGTTCTAAGCCTAATGAATGGAAAGTTAAATAACATTAGTTTTCATACTGAAACAATGGGGCACTCCCATTCTGTTTAGCTAGGAAAGGTTTCTGTGTACCCAAGTTCCTCCTCTACCAATGGATTCCATTTTATAAGAAACTATATGCAATTTTTAAAGCATTTAATTTACTAAAAATGATGTCCTGGGTTTTGAATCAGCTGAATCAATGGAAAGTGCAGTTACCGTCAAAGGAATGGAATACATGAGTTTGTTTTAACAATGCCTTTAAAGATATTCTTCATTTCTTTGGAAGTCTCAAGAAAGCTTCTAAACCAAATGTCTATGATTGCAGAGTCTGGGCAGCTTCCTTAATCAAAGCACATGTAACCTGGCTTCTCACGTTGGGAGCCCCAACGACTGCCCTTTTTTTGTCCAGAGAAATACTTTGGAGGTTAGTCATGTGTGCAGCTAATAAGAGGGTGGAGAACATGCTGCTAAAGAACTCTTTTTAGAGGTCCTTCATTGATGCAGCTTCTTTTTAGTTGTTTTCTTCTACTGTACAGAATTGGTAATTATAAGATCACTTCACACTCTCATAAAATGAGCAAGGGGGGAGAGAGAAGAATTGGGACACTTTGTACTGGGTGTACAGTCCAAGGCCATATCGGTGAGGGACATGTGACTGTAATTTGCCCAGGCAGTACTGGAGCTGGTTGTTAGCAATTATTTACACTGTAAATGTTCCCATTAAAAGCCATTTCTGCCCAGCATTATCCATTGCCATGTGGATTGAATGAGGTTTGCTTTTTCATCTAGAAGAATCATCTCCAAGACTACTTAGGCACATGGAGTGAAACCCTGGCTCCTTTGAAGTCAATGGCAAAATTCCTATTGGCTTCAGGCGGGCCAGGATTTTACCCACTGTCTATCAGGGAGCTGCAGATGCAACACACTACATAGTAGGGGGAAGAGGATTCCTCCCCCTTGTGCCAGTTTTAGTCTTTGAAACAGCCCTGACTGGTTGTCCTTGCCCTTAAGACTGGTGGCTGCAATACAGGGTTAATATGTGAAAGGCAAAGTGGGGATTCTCTTCTGATGGATAGGTTTAGTGGATCTCTTGGGTGGAGAGAGCAGTTGTCCCTTCCGCACTAAGATAAGAAGCTGCAGTCCTGGAGTCTTACAGTTACTGTGTTCTCAAAGAAGTCTGTTTTGTGTTTGGTTTCTTTTGTGTCTAGCAGCAGCTTATTGGTGTTCAGTGGAAACACCCTGCAGGGCAGGAAACCGTAAGACTTTATTACTGTAACAACGAGCAGCTCTGTAAGCCTGGAAAACAAATCTTGTCCATGTAACAATGCATTGTAAACATAACTGCTAAATGTTAATTTCAACAGTGCTTCCTTGCTGTGTGGTAGATGTGTGTCTGTCTCGTATGTTAATTTTCTGTTTAAATGAAAAGTCTGTAACATTTACTGCAAGGGTCCTTTCTAATAGAATGCAGAATATTCTAACTCTCAGAAATAATGAACTGACTGATGTTTTTACCTTTCTGTCTTCTTTCTAGGCAGCACAAATAGTCCTGATTTCATTGTTTGAACTGAACACTCCTGAGTTTACGATGTTACTTGGTGCCTTGCCAAAAACATTCCAGGACGGTGCTACCAAGCTTCTCCACAACCACCTCAAGAACTCCAGTAACACTAGCGTGGTGAGATGCTTATGCAGCTAATGTCCATAGAAAAGAGCAGAGCTGCAGAAGATGACAGTTCACGGATGTTTCAGCTGTTCAGTAGCATGTTTCCAGTCCTGCCTAGCAGCATTATGACCCAGTGGCATCTGTTTGACATTGTATTGAAGTGATCATTAAAGCAATCCTGCCAGCTCTTTTTAGGTTTAATCTGCATGAGAGAGTTTCTAAAGCACCTAAGTGATTTAGGAATCTAGAAAATAATGGGACCTGTGCATCTAGGATACTGGGCTGCTTTTGAGAATCCCACCAGAAGCATTCCTCTTGAGCTTTTGGTCCTGCAAACTCTGTGTTCAGCACTGCCAGTTGAAACCTATTTAATATCTTATGTTCTCCATCAGGGAACTAAAACTTTGATCTAGTAGTAGGTCTTTTCCAGCTCTTACCAGTGAGCCTATATTTTGAGTTTATATGCTGCCTTTACATACTTTTATTAAGGAAGAAAGTAGGAGAGAATCTTTTTTGGTAAATCCTTTTTTTTTTTCTCTCTCTCAGTTCTGCATGTACCACAATATTTTTTGACTCAATTCCTCTTGACTGTAACAACTTATTTATATTGAAATCCCATGTAATTCAGACAGGGTCCGGTCCTGGGATCTTTGCACATCCATTATCTTGAGTGGGAGTTTTGCCTGAGCAAAGACTGTGGGATCAGGTCCATAGGAAGCAGGGTGCTGAACACACCTGTGCTCTTGGTGGCATTCTCCAGTGCCTTGCACCTGGTGTATATAGTACTACCCAGTCAGAATGGAAGCATTTTTTTTTTACCAATGTTGCTATTTGGTAAATGGCTCTGCAAGGCAGTTGAGAATCAGGCTGAAAATTGCTATCGTACAGTTTTGTCTCAAGTTACAAAACAAAATCCAGAACGACATTCCAGAATATGAAAATCATAAATGTATTAAAATAATTTGTCAATGACCAGAATAAAGGTCCCCATAACTTATAATGCAAGGAATTGTGTTTCAGAAGTTGAATAACTTGATAAACCACTTCTCTGGCAAGATCGCTTTAGAAACAGCAGCACAAAGTATCAAATATGCTTTTTTAAATTGTGAGTTTCATGGCTTGTTGGAAGGTATCCACGTTAACCTGATTTTATGTGCTATTCCTTCTCTTTAACCAGCCATTTCATGGGCCAATTTTTTCAAATTTGCATGAACCGTATTTTTCAGAGCTCACCCGAAACATGTTTACACTCCTTGCATTTGTAGATTTTGAAACACAAATGCAACAGGAACACACGTGTCTTGGGTGGAGCCCACATTACACGGGGCTGTGAAAGGGTCGCCTTCTCAGGCTAGAAAATATTGGAATTTACTAACGAGTTTGGGTGAAATCCTGTTTTTGTTTATGCTTTCAATTCATCTTATTGAAATCAATTGCTGTAAATAACACAGATAAACTAAAATCAGAATGTGGCTAAGTCTGTCCTGATTTTCACCCATTGTGTCATTACTGTTGTCCAGAGTAAATAAAAACAGAATTTGGGCTCATTTTCTTTTTGTCTCCTCCTGTGTATATAAGCATTTCCCTAACCTTTTTCTTCCTGCTTTTGTATTAGGGTTCTCCTAGCAATACTATTGGCCGGACTCCTTCACGACACACCAGCAGCAGAACCAGCCCCCTAACTTCCCCTACCAACTGTTCCCATGGTGGACTGTCTCCAAGGTAATGCAGCAATTTAATTAAATAATTACAACATCTTAAAGTGTTCCACCATTAAATGTGCATCTCTACAATGTCATTCTTCAAATCGGATGGTTAAAGCCAAGAGTATAAAATGGTAAATTCAGTTCAGCAGAGTTTGACAAATACATACACAAAGCATAATAACGCATGGTGGGTATTTGCTTCTTATATATGTGATAGTGAAACTGGAACATCAGTCTTGTGTATGCTTAACATCTTGCATTTTCCTTCACAACCAACCCCTCCGCAGAATCACATACTTGTGTTCAAAGTTCAAGTCTAATGGCTAAAGAGAGATTCAACCCATGCTATTTGAATCTGGGCCCTGGTTTGCTTTTCAAACACTGTTTAATAGTTGGTGTGTTTTAGATTCAGGGCTTTGGTTTGAGCCCCCTCTGTGAGGACAGCACTTTCTGCTTGAGCAGCGTGCCTGGCTAGATGGTACATTGCCTACAAGGATGCTATTCCATTAAGAGAGACTGGATTTTGGAAGTGCAGTATTCTGCTGCTGGTGTCAGGCTGGATGAGGAGGGTGGTTTGAAAGAGGATGCTCAGGCATGGGAGATTGTGAAGGTTGCTGCTAGGCTCTGCGTATAGAAACTAAAAACCGTACAGATTTGTAGTGTACTTGAAGTCAAAGCCATTACAACCTAGTGCTGTGCTGTTAAATGTCTCCATGGAGTATTAATCGCAACTGGCTTGATCCTGCCGCATGCTCCGGGGTTTTGCTGCCAGATACCACAAGGCTATTAGAGCAGAGAAGATAGAGGTTCAGAGAGAACGGTGTGTTATAATTCTCTCGTTTTTTTACTTTACACCTCTTGATGCTAGATTGGGCACGTTTTTGGTTGCTGTAAGTGTTGTCACAAGAAGTCATTCTGTGGCTGAGTCGCCTTGTGTCAGGAATCATGGTATCAGTGACGTTTTGCCATCCAGAGCCGAGCAACAGAAATGTGTACTCTTCAGAAGGCCAAACATTTCAGGGTATCTAAATACATTTTCAAATCCCTAAATCTGCTTCACTACAGAGCCAGCCTTAGAACTTGCCAGACTTGAGTCATCAAATATGGCATTAAGGATGGGAAGTGTTTTTTCAACAGGGATTTTTCCAAATAAAAGTACTAGGATTTCCCTTCAGACAGACAATCCCAGTAGCAGTACTTCCTCTTCTCCTTGTTGGGATGTTAAGATTTTGAATCTCTGGCATGGGAAATTATAGGCCAAGAGCTCTGTGTCCCTGTGGCTAAAAATGCAACAAGGGTAGTACTTGCATGCAGCATCTAGTTCTAAATCCATGATATTTTACTATATTTGTTTTTGGTCTTTATAAAACAGCTGATATTCACTGCTTCATTTACTGTCTTTTAGTAAGAATATAAGAACATAACATAAGAGCGGTCATACTGGGTCAGACCAAAGGTCCATCTAGCTCAATATTCTGTCTGCCGACAGTGGCCAATGCCAGATGCCCAGAGGGAGTGAACAGAACAGGGAATCATCAAATGATCCCTCTCCTGTCATCCATTTCCAGCCTCTGCCAAACAGAGGCTAGGGACACCATCACTACCCATCGTGGCTAGCAGCCATTGATGAACCTAACCTCCATGAATTTATCTAGTTCTTTTTTTAACCCTGTTTGGGTACATCTACACAGCAGCGTTCGGAATAATGTCCATTATTCCAAAATAACTATGCGAGTGTCAAAATAACGGGCAGCTTATTTTGGCATTTGTAAACATCATTCCACAAGGAATAGTGCCTCTTCCGAAATAGCTATTTCAGAATAGTAGTAGTGTGGATGCTTCACTGTTCCTATTATGAAATAGCTCCTCCCCCAGGCCATTCAAAGTAATTACTCCCTGGTGCTTCCTGGGGCTCTAAATCGAGGCAGCGTGTCCATATTAGGGGAGCCTGCCTTGGACTAATTTCCAGGCTTCCCTGTAGTGTAGAGGCACTATTTCAAAATCAGCTTTTTTGGAGTATTTCTTTCAGAATAGCTTATTCCAAAATAATCGTGCACTGTAGACATAGCCTTAAAGTCCTGGTCTTCACAACATCCTCTGGCAAGGAGTTCCACAAGTTGACTATATGCTGCGTGAAGAAAAGCTTCCTTTTGTTGGTTTTAAACCTGCTACCTATTAATTTCATTTGGTGACCCCTAGTTCTTATGTTTTGGGAACAAGTATGTGACTAAATGTCCTTATGTTCTTATGTTTCTTATAATTTATGGCCCAGTCATGTGGATTTTCAACACCCTGAGCAAGATAGTTACTGACATAAGTCTGTAGTATAGACCAAGCATCAGTGTATTTCCTTTGCAAAAAGAAGCTTTCCTAACTTCAGAGTTGGGCGAGGGGAAGAATTGGAATGATCTTAACAGAGTAACCAAGGTTATACTGTAAGAATTAGCTTGTATTATCCAGCAATGCCCCTTACAGGTAGGTGGGAGGCAAGATATGGAACTTTATGGTTATTGTAATTTTTTTCTTCAAAGCAACATTCTTGCCAACTATTGCATTTTTGTAAAACCTGTCGCTTGATTCCTGACTAAAGAGTGAATTTCCTGACACTGCTCTTCAAACAGGGTTTTAAATGGCACTGCTGTGGTGTGCACTAGAATGATTTCTTACTTGTATCTGTTTCCAGTCTTGCAGCATCTTTCACTTATGTATATGGGAATGTGACTTTTTCAGATACAATGTACTCAAACCTAATAGAAACAAAGTGGCATGCTGAATACTCCTACAGCTCTAGAACAGAAATCTGGAAACATGTAGAATGTAAACTAGTGGATAGACAGAGAGGCAGACAAGAAGTTGCATCCAATTTTGCTTGATTATGAAACAAGTGGAGTAGCTCAAGAACTGTCCTAGGACCAGGAACATCTTAAACTAAACACCCACTGATGTAAATGGAAATTTTGCCTGAGTATAGACTGCAGGATTTTACTGTGAGCCATCACACAGAACCAGATATTATTGCAAACCAATTTTACTCAATCCCCTTTTACGGGTTTTCTTCCCCTAGCTTTCTTCTAGCTAAATTCCATTGTCTAAAATCATTGCTCAGAGGTTGAATCCCGGCACCTATACCATAGTCCACTTGCATTATTTTAGGAATTGTGTTTTAAAAGCTACATTCTGTGTTTGAAATATATTGAATAAAACAGGCAGGGACTGGCCAGCGTAAATCATTAATAATAACAGTAAACATCTAAAGCAACACTTAAGGCCAAAGCAATGACCTGAGGAGATCAATGGAGTATTCTTGTCTCATTTTGTTTCTGTTAAATTTCTTTGTCTTTCTCTCTCTGCCTCTCTCTCTCTCTCTCTCTCTCTCTCTCTCTCTGTCTTCCTCTCTTATCTCTCCAAGGAAGCATGAGAACACTTAAGCCACTCAGATTAGTTTTTTTTCCTCCCTTTTCCCTCTGTTTTCTCTCTTCCTCCCTCCCCCTCCCCCCCGATCACTGCAGTCGTTTCTGGGGTTGGAGTGCAGACGGGCTGTCGAAGCACCCCCCTCCCCTTTCTCAGCCTAACTCCATCCCCACTGCTCCTTCCCACAAGACTTTCAGACGCTCTTACTCGCCCAGGTAACAAGCTACCTGTTAAACCAACTTGTCTGAGGTGTCACAATATTATTTACCTTTCACATGATGGAAGTTTCTCAAAATGGGTCAGGATGTTTCTGGAGACTTTTCATCCAGAGGAGAATAAACCCCAGGCTCTTGGTGGTCTATGAAACCTAGTGTGACTGAACTAGCTGCTTTCTTGGCTGCTAGAAATCAGAGTATTAACTTACAGAGACTGAAGGTTCCCAGAAAACTCAGTCTCCTGTTTTATGTTTCTTACAGTTTGAATTCCAATGCAGAACTCAATAATTCTCTAGTGTTGGCAGTTCTGAGTGTACCACACTGCCCAGTGGCCTCCAACCTTTATAAGCACAACATCACTTAAGTTAAGTGCAACCCAGGATCTACTTCAAACCAAATACCCTGGCCCCACCTCATCCCCCACCTCTTCTTGGAGGCCCCGCCTTGCTCACTCCATCTCCCTCACCCTACAGAGCAAGCAGGAGGTTTCTAGGGGGCACTCCAAGGCAGATGGCAGGAGAAGCATGGCCGTGGGTGCATAGGCAGCTGAAATGTCCACACTTTATAGCCTCCCAGTCAGGATCACCTGTCAGAGGCTCCAAGATCTCCCAGTAGATCCCGATCTACTTGTTGGTGACCACTGCGGTACCCAATATCTTTGTCACATTACAGGCGAGCTCTTCAAACAACGGCACCTAAATTACCCATCTGAACTATGCATGGATGCACACAGAGTGGCACTTGCAAATGCAAGCAGGGATGTTGTGAGGTGTTCATGCCTATAAAGCATTGTGAAGGTGAAGCAAGCGCATATAATATTGCAGAACTTGCCTGCCTACAAGGATCGTAGGGTATCCCATGTGACTATAGAGCATCACAAAAAACCATTTTTTTAATTGAATGTCACTGTTGCAGAGGTTTTCAGCAACTATTACAACTGTGTAAGATGAGCATTTGCCCTTGGTTTGTCCCTTTCTGGCTTCTACCTGTAGAGTATGTCAAACCAGAATTACAGAATTAAATTTCAGGGAATTTTGGATCAAACGTTGTTCTTCATACACATGCCTTATTTAAATTGCTGCATTTACTTAGGAACCCAGGCAAAACTGATAATTAAATTTGATACATTCAAATCCTGCAGTTTTCCCCCAGCAAAACTCCCATTGACTGCTTACTCCTGATTTTAATGGAAATTGCCTTAGAAAGGATAGGTCCATTAATGCTTATAATCCAGAATGGGCAGGGATGGTGTCCCTAACCTCTGTTTGACAGGAGCTGAGAATGGGTGACAGAGGAGGGATTACTTGATGATTCCCTGTTCGGTTCACTCCCTCTGGGGCACCTGGCATTGGCCACTGTCGGCAGACAGGATCCTGGGCTAGATGGACCTTTGGTCTGATGCAGTTTGGCTATTCTTATGTTCTTATGACTGTTTTATTTTTCCCCTAACCAGGAAGTTTTAAAAAAAACAGTATTTTCAAAAGTTGTTGGCCAAGTTATTGAATTTGTAGATGAAATTCTTTTATGATTCCCCTCTGATTACTAAACACTAGGATATACCCATTGTGACAAGGTGATAACGTTGAAGAATACACCATCCAGAAGCTTGAAAGTGAAAGGAGGAAGTGCAAGCAGACAAAATTATGGGGTGCTGCATAAGAATGCTAAACTGTTAGTTACTCGGGACATTGTGTCACTATTTAAAAAACCCTGTTTTTAGAAAATAAAATACGTCCCAAACACTGGACAAGAAAGCAAGATTGGTAAATTGCCACATCGTGTTTGATACAAGTGGCAGATGGAAAATAATGTTGTGACATCCCTAAACACTGCTTATCTCTACTCATCTCTTCTTGTTCATCCTGTGGCTCTTCCAGTTTTCTGCATGGGTATTATTTTTCCTGTTGTGGTTGTCAGTCTGTTTTTTGAAAGGTAGGTATAGATCCATCTTGCATTTATTTTTGTATCCATCATATTACCTATATAGTAAACAAACACGTATTGGCAAATGGATAGATGTGTTTGTTCACATATAGAGTATTCTTTCATTTAAAATGCGAAACTGTACTCATGATATGGGATCTCTTTCACAGATTCACTATTGTTTTACGAAAATAGGCAGATGGCATGCGAATCAGTTGATGTCTTTACATTTTATAACATTTAAATTTGTGCCACAAGGAACACTCCTAACCACTGTCACTCACACAGACCTGTTCCTCTTTGTTCAGATCTTGCTTTATTACTTTGGCATCACAAATTCTTTGCTTTGACCACCTCTGTGGGAATTGGTTCACTTCAATTTAAATTTTTATTTTTTGAGGTATGTATGCATATGCAAGGGCAAAATTTGGCTCAATATTTATCACATGAGTATTGTCCTTTAAGGGAAGGAATAATAATTATAGCAGAAGAGGGGGGAGTCAGGATTACTGGAATTCTGTTCTTGAGTCTACTGGGTTTTTACCACGTGACCATGGCCAAATCGCGTAACCACTCCATGTCTGTTTAGCTCTTTGCACTAGAGGTATAATAATGTTGACATGCACTTACCTCAAGGAGTGATTCGTTACTCATTTAACCATTTGTAAAGCTCTTGCTATCTTTGATTGAAAGATGATTGAGTTCAACATCTTGTTTTAAAGTCAAGATCAACTAAGACTAGTCTGAGTCCTATCTGATGTCCACCCAAAAAGGCCTTCTGTTTCCATTTGTACAGGCTGCACCTACACCTTGCATTTTAGAATAGTCTTAAAAACTATATTCATCCTTTGCTAGTCTGAAAAGTCTGCAATTTTATAATTCCTTACGGTTCGTAAGCATGTTTTGTTCCCAGACACCAACCCATTAAAGAGTCTCCTATTTCCTTCCAGCCAGACCTTGCCTCAGAGACATTGTTTGTTCAGAGATCGGGAGTGGTCCTTTGGTTTCTTTGCCAAAACATACGACGTACGTTCTGTACTAGTGCTCATGCTTGTGCTGTTGTTTCTGAGTGCGTGTATTGACAGAACCAAGGGTTATATCTAATTTAAGATTCTTTGTTTCTGAAGGATTCAAGAGGCCGAAATCTTGTCCTTTTGAAGTTCTTAAATCTCTTCTAGAAACAAGGAGAGGTTCTAGATAATGTTCTGCTGTGTTCTATAGAAAGATGGCCTACGTGTTCACAAGTCAAAAGAAGATTCACATTTCCTAATTCTTCCGTCCTGCAAGCCATTTCTTTGTTTTGTGACAGGATGATGTCGATATTTCACTCTGAGCACCTTCCTCTTAGCCACCATGTCTTAAATTTGTTCACAAACTGAAACTCACCCATGCACACAATGAGTCCACTTCTGCCATTTATTGCCCAGAGAATTGATGATGCACATATCTCTAAATCCTTTTGCTGTTTGCTTCTTGTTTTCTGAGCCCTTAGGCTTCTCCAGAAAAACTGTATGTCTCCATGAAACACCTTTTGTAAGTGCTGATTTAGACCTTGCTACAGACTCAGTCCCCTGAGCAGAACAGAGTCCTGCTGATAACTCCATGTTCCGTTTGGAGCAGGCAGAGGCTG